CCTTCTTGAGCGTCCCTGAGGCGTCCCTGGGCAGCCTACTGAGGTACTCGGTACCCCTGTACATGGGGACCAAATGTGGCCTTTGCCTCCCTTCCAGCGCGAGCCTCGGATACTGCCACCCAAACCGCCGACCAAAAATGATTGAAGAGGCGGCTATAGACTCCCTCGAACCTGCTTTCGCCTAACGCGGAGAAAGGCTGTGCGGAGAGCGGTGACACCTTCATAGCATCCGCACATCGCGCCAAAGCACAATATAGTCTTCATTGGTTGTGAAAAGTCTTAAATGACTGCAGAGGCTTCAGTCACAGGCCATATATGCTACAAAAACGGCCACAGCGCGGACTTTGGAAAAAGGCAAAGAAGTCGTGGGCGACTGAAATTACAGTGGTCCCTGAGGCCGCTCGAACCAGTGGAAGGATAATGGAGACAACTAAGGTCTATTGGCCTTTTCTATTCTGTCTTTTAATGAATGCTATGAAGGATGAATAGGAAAACACCTCAAGGCTCGTGCCCGTTATACAAGGCTGACAACTCCGTTGCGCAGAAGGGATAACTTCGAAGCCACGACTGTCTCGGCACAATATGCCCAATTCATGTCGCAGCGAGGGTTTGGGGGGACCAGATGAGAAAAAATCCACTCAACAAGATTTTCCTGTCTCTTGTACTTGTCTCCTCCGGATTTTAGGTCTAACATCCAAGTCGGGTGCGTTCTCTGGCAGCATAAACATGGAGCCTTAGGCGCGAAGTTACCTTCTGTCGGGACTGGATTGCTGCTGGGCCAACGAGACTTATACCCAGTCGCGACCTGGTTGTATCACCCTCGATTTTCGATATTAGAAGCCTCCATGCCTGAGACGTCTTGCTTCTTTTGGATTTTCGCTATCTTTCTCACTTCAATGGCCCGATTTACAAATTCTTTGCTACAGTTGTTGATGACTTCAGCAATTCTTCAACACGCAGCTTCGCGATAGTCCTCACTGCCTAGCGAAATAGGCAGGAGTCATGACAGACGGGCTGTGTACCTCCTGTCTGTATGAGTTTGGATTCGGTGTCCAAAACGAGAACAAGGCATCAGGAGAGCCAGGTCAGATTATTCTGCTTCATCCTCCTGCGCCTTTGGGCTCCTCTTCGCCTGCGTTGTACCTTGGAGTTTCGAGAAATTCGAAGTTATCAGTGATAATCGTCCATCCCTCAGCTACCCGTTCTTCAACCAACAAACGACTTCTCTAGACCGAGCATAAAAGACACCGACCGATAATCCTCCTATCTACCCACTTGATGATGCTGTATAAGACGCCTGTCCTGTATACGTCTGTCCTGAATAACTACTATTCGGTTGAGCGAGCGTCCGTCAAGAAACGCTGGACATGGGAACCAGTGACGGCCAACGACGATGAACGTTATAAGCGAACGCTAGACAAGACATCGCATCTGCGGGAAGGCTTTCATGGAACAGCATACAATGAGGTCTTCAATTCAATAGTCAAACGGTGAACTCGGTTTGGGGCGTCAGACAAGGAATTCTTGGAAAATGCCGTCGATCTGCACGCCGAGTTTCAAAAGCGCACAAGGGATTTGACGACATTACGCTCGAGAGGGCTAGTGACTCCTAGTAGGGGCCTGGAAACGCTTACCTCTTGAATATTGGGTACGGTCTCGAGCCCGAGATTTACCTGGGACGCTTGGGAAAATCCCATTTGATCATGCGATTGAATGGCCGATGCAAGACCACACGAGGCAGACCCTCACACCGTTGAATCACATGGTGTGACGGCCATCAACCCCGACATCCCTCTCGATATACGCCATACGCCACTCGAACGGGATGGGTCTAAGCAGACCTCGCTGTTTTTTTATCCTACAAGTGAGACGACAGGTCCCTCTCGTAGTTGCAAACACCCTGTTTCAAGCTGAGTACGTCGGTCAGGGAATATCTTCTATCCGCCTTACTGGGGCCGCAACTTCGGAACTAGAGATTTCAAGGAATGCACCTGGTCGGACACTTGAATTGTCCTAGTGCTCGGAATTCTAAGAACGGAAGGGAGACAAAACAGATTTTAACCGGACCAAAGACTTTCAATCCCCAAACATGAATGTCGGCAAGGACGAGAAGCTTTTATGGGAACGTCTCGAAATGGATCGTTTCACGCTGCCTGTATGGCAGAACAAGACCGAGCTTGATCCGAAGTGTTATGACGACAAATCCGAACTACGGACGCCTTGATTGAAATGCCTTTCTATCTCAAAGCTGGAAACTGTACGGACGGGGGAGAAAGGGGACTGGGCCGAAGGTGTTCCTCCTCTTGGATTAGATCCCATCGATCAACGCCTAGAGGGCGGTTAGACGAAAATCCTTGACGGTGACGACTGTTCTATTGGATTAGAACTTACAACTTTGACGGGCGATATCTACGCTGCGTCGCTCATTGTCTTAACATTCATTCAACATCGTCTCATGGTATCGCAGCCCCGTTTTCATGATATGATATAAGCTCGCTTCCTCCTGCTCCGGCCATGTCCTCCCTCTTTTACAAGTATGGATATATCTAGAAAGGTCGTGGTCAATACTACACCGATATTGTTCGACTCCTACATTTGGCATTGGGAGCCCAAACGCATCATCGTACGGTGGACGAAAGGGCGAGGGCCCAGTCACGTGGTAATGATGACTTGATGGACGGACAGGTTGTTTGTGTCAGACTATTAATTAATACCTATCCTCGCTAGCTCGCTAGCTGGTACTTATAGTGGTTGCTTCATGAATGACAGTAACGCGCGAATTCCCCGAATACCACGCGACCGCATCTCCCTTTCGAGTTGGCAATGCACGCAGAGTTCCAAGGTTGCAACTATTCTGTTCAATAGTCAACTATACTCCAAGGCGACAAGATGCCGCCAAAATGAAGTAATAAAGCCCTCATTTCCAGCACCCAGGCTCTACTCTCCAAGTCCCATCCCATGTCTTCATCGCAGCCTTTTGTGCCTTCATCGCCCATCAACCGCGCCGGCGCCAGGAAGAAGTCGCGATTTACGTTCAAACATCTCCATCTCCTCAGCCAATCTTCAACCTCTTGCCCGTTGAGATGCATCGCACTGATCGACTACGATGCCTTCTACGCCCAGTGTGAGATGGTGCGACTGGGCGTCTCCGAGACCCAACCGCTGGCTGTACAGCAGTGGCAGGGGCTCATCGCCATCAACTATCCGGCCCGGGACTTTGGCTTGAACCGGCACGCCACAGTCACCGAAGCAAGGTCCAAGTGTCCGCAGATTGTGATCCAACATGTCGCCACGTGGCGCGAAGGCGACGACAAGTGGGCATACCGCGACGACGCCGCAAAACACATCCAGACGGACAAGGTTTCGCTAGATCCGTACCGTCTGGAATCGAGGAAAAGCCTGGCCCTCATCAAGGAGATCCTGCCTCCTCCGCCCATACAACGTGTCGAGAAGGCTAGCATCGATGAGGTCTTTCTGGACCTGTCGGCTCAAATCCACCAGATCCTGTTGGAAAGGTACCCCGAACTCCAGTACGCGCCCTACGATGATCCGACGGAGAATCTTCCATTACCGCCGTCGACAGCTCTGAACTGGGAGGCAGACGCACTGGTGGATCTTGACTCCACAGAGACGGAGGACGACGACCCGGACTGGGACGATGTGGTCATGAACATCGGCTCCGAGATCGTCCGGGGCGTGCGGAAGATGATTCGAGAGAGGCTGAAGTACACCTGCTCGGCCGGCATTGCGCGCAATAAAATGATGGCCAAGCTCGGAGCTGGATACAAAAAGCCCAATCAACAGACCATTGTCCGCAACCGGGCGGTGCAGCACTTCCTGTCGGCTTTCAAATTCACAAAAATACGGAATCTGGGCGGCAAACTCGGTGATCACGTCGTGGACACTTTCAACGTGGACGACGTCACGGATCTATTAAAGATTCCTCTCGAACAACTCAAGTCCAAGCTGGGAGACGACACCGGAACGTGGCTCTACGGAACTATCCGTGGGGAGGACAATAGTGAAGTCAGTTCGCGCACACAGATCAAATCAATGCTGTCTGCCAAATCCTTCAGACCTACTATCAATACGACGGAGCAGGCAAACAAATGGCTAAGAATCTTTGTAGCAGACATCTATGCTCGCTTAGTTGAAGAAGGCGTGCTTGAGAACAAGAGGAGACCCAAGACCATTACTCTGCATCACCGGCAAGGCGGACAGACGAGATCAAAACAGCTGCCGATACCAGGAGGCAAGAAGATCGACGAGATGGCCCTTTTCGAACTTGCGAAAACCTTGCTCGGACAGGTCATTGTTGACGGGAGAGCGTGGCCGTGCGCGAACCTGTCGCTAAGCGTTGGCGGTTTCGAAGAGGGGGTGTCGGGGAATAAAGGTATCGACACGTTCCTCCTGAGAGGGGATGAAGCCAGGGCTGCCATGGATGTCCCACACCGCAGTCACACCGCAACGCCGGATTTTGATGAAAGCCGGCCTGAGAAGCGGCGAAAGCTGAACGAAGGTCCTCCTAGCATTGCCCGCTTCTTTTCCAAAGGCGAGAGTACTGAGGAAGGTGAAGATGAATCCAAAGCTCCTATCGTGGAGGAGGACATGGGCGGACTCGGTGGGGAAGAAGAAAAGGAACTCCGAGGGAACAGCCATCCTCCACCTCCATTGCACCAACAAGACATCACCACGTACTTCTGTCAGTCTTGCCAGAAGTCGATCAACGAAACCGAGCGAGGTGAGCATGAAGACTGGCATTTTGCCAAAGACCTTCAAGCCCAGGATACGCTCTCCGTGACAGGCCCGACAAATAGTCGTCCACCCGGCCAGGTCAATACCAAGCCGAAGCGCGGCGCTGCGAGTAGTGGTCGAGGGCGCGCCTCCAAGGTTGAGAAGGGTCAGAGTCGCCTTGCTTTTGGATAGCTTGCGGTGGGTCGTCTTGAATAACGAGCCTGCGTGATGATGAAACAAGAAAAGCGTGACGTCTAGACTGACTCTCAGATGCTCTGATCAGCATACTCCTTGTTGAACGCCCTTCCGATGACCATCCTCCTGATCTCGCTGGTCCCGGCACCGATCTCGTATAGTTTTGCATCCCTCAACAATCTCCCGGCGGGGATTTCGTTGACGTATCCATTGCCACCCATCAACTGGATTGCATCCAGCCCGCATTCGCTGGCCCTCTCGGCCGCATAGAGAATTGCCCCGGCACAGTCCTGCGTGCGGATGTCACCCTCTTCATCGACCTTCTTCGCCGTAGTGTAGGTGTACGCCCGCGCGGCTTGGAGCTTGGTATACATGTCGGCCAGCTTTCCTTGAATCAGCTGGTTGTGGGCGATAGGCATGTCGAACTGCTTCCTCTGGTGCGTGTAGGGCAGGACCAGGTCCAAGCAGGCCTGCATGATTCCCAACGGGCCCGCGCTGAGGACCAGTCTCTCGAGATCCAAGCCCTCCATCAGCACCCGGACGCCCTTGTTGACCTCGCCCAAGACATTCTCCTTGGGCACAAAGACGTTGTCGAAGACGAGTTCGCCCGTGTTCGAGCCCCTCATGCCCAGCTTGTCCAGCTTCCTCGCGACCGAGAAGCCCTCGAAGGTCTTCTCCACGATGAACGCCGTGATGCCCTTGCTCTTCTTCTCGGGCTCCGTCTTCGCGTACACCACGATGAAGTCGGCCTCCGGGCCGTTGGTGATCCACATCTTGGTCCCGTTCAGGCGGTAGCCCCCGTCCACCGCCTTCGCCGTGGTCTTCATGCTCACGACATCGCTGCCCGCCGAGTGCTCCGACATGGCCAGGGCGCCCACCTTCTCCCCGCTGATTAGACCGGGCAAGACTCTTTGCTTTTGCTCCTTCGTCCCGTTCAAGGACAGCTGGTTCACGCACAGCTGCGAGTGAGCCGCGTAGCTTAGTCCAATGGACCCCGACGCCCGCGAGATCTCCTCCATGATCACACTGTGTGCTTGGTATCCCATGCCCAGGCCTCCATATTCCTCGTCAGCCGTCGGCCCCAGGAAGCCAGCCTCGCCAAGTTTCTTCCACATGAAGTGGGGGAAGTCATTTTCTCGGTCCGTCCGCGCGGCTAGTTCTTCAGGGATCTCGCGACGGGTAAATTCTTGGACGCGATCGCGCAGTTCGTAGAGCTCTTCGGTCGTGGGAGGCGTGAAGTTGACCGGGTGTTTCGACGTAGTCGACGCCGCTCGTATTGCAGTTTTGGAAACTAGGCTTGAAGCGCTTCGAGCAATGCGAGCACCTGAGCGGACAGATTTCGGGATGAGGAAGGACGCCATGGCGGTTGACAGATGAGTGAAGCGATTCAGAACGAGCGGCCTCCACGGAAACAGACTGAGACTGTGAAGTAATAATGCTGGTCGAGAGAGGTAGAGTGGTTGAGTGGCAGAGGTCAGACTTATTCCCTTGCTCCGCCGTTTGGCAACTGCACTGATGCCCGTCTCTAACCGCGTTGCCGAGGAGCTTCAGCTGTTGCGGGGACTTCCAAGAGTATCAGCCTACGAGGTACAATTGGAATGGGAGATTCTGCAAATATCTGTATTGGGATAATGCTGATCCTCCTTGTGCTCTTGCAGCGAGTTTCAAACCTTGAGCAAACCATCCTTGTGATCAGACCTCGAATGAATGACACGTACATGAACAATTCAGCAATACGTAGCCCCCTCGAACACCAAGCTCAAACAACTTCTGTCCTTTCCCATTACCGAGTATGAATCCAGCCACCTCATCGACTTCCATGTACTTCTCTCAGATACCGAACATTGCAACATAATATGATTTCACCACCACCAGTATTCGTGCTCATCCAGCGTCTGATGTATCTTTGAATGCGAACCTTAAAAAAACTGCAAAGGCAGTCAATGCAGCCGCTCTGGGGATGGAGTGTTCGCATCTAGGCGTAAACTCTGTATGCTGGTGGTTGACTGTTACTGTTCCGGCCAGCTGGCGCGGAAGGAGCCGTCGAGCTGGTCGAGTGTCTGCGAACAGGGAGATATACCTCACTAGAACGACCCCTGGTCAATGAAGGCACCCGAAGGGGGCTGCTGTCTGCCTACTTGCGATGGCACGGCATTCCACAGTTGCTGCAAGCATGTGCAGAACACGCAACTCTCTCAATCACCGCTCTTCTGAAGTTCTCACCATCCACTTTGATGATCTCGCCCGCTGGACCTTTGCTGATGACGCCGATAAACTTCCTGAGAACACGTCAAGACATTCCTTGCCCAACGTTCACGCAGACGATTACCATTCGTCAGATGTTGACATGAGAGATATGACCTTCGAAACCTCGTCGATAACTCCAGGCCTGCAATGGGCTGGCCGGACAAATTCATAGTCACTGATGCTGTCGTAGAAGGGCAGGCCGGGAGGATTCGTGATGCGCCATGTTTGCCTGTTCGTGTCTTTGGTGTAGTAGGATTCGAGCATAAGGAGTCTTCGTTCAATCATGGTTGGTCAGGGTCAGGAATACAATTTGAGATGAAGCTATATCGGAAGTAGTGGCATTGCTGACGGTAAAAGATTCGAGGGAAGACCACAGACCCGCTCCAATTCGTGTCACTGGCACAAGGTAGTTGGGCGCAGCGCACTTGCTGCCTGTGTCGGTGAGCTGTGAATGACAAACACCACAGGAAGAGCCTTGCAATATTCCCCATTTCTGTCAATGCACAACTGCGGCTGCGGCGTGCGGACAGACAAGAGAGCTGTTGAGGACACGACATGGCAACGGATGCGAACATCTCGCGGCCACGAGTGCGTTTCGCGTCATGTTCTGTTTCTCTTCGTGTTTCGCATCAGCTGCAATGGTTTTGGAGCAAGTCTTCTGGACGGACAAGAAAAGACATTGCAGCAGCAGTAACAACTTGATGGGAAAGCCGCGATGATCGCCCCAGCACGGCAAATCGGTCACGGATCGAAGGACACGAGATGAAGGTCCTAAGTTCCAGATTCCAGATTCCCATCAACAGCGGTCGATGTGGCTGTCGATCTCCGGAGAACTGTTTTTCCGATCCGATGTCTGCGGTCTGCCTCCTGTCTGCCTGCTGCCTGTCAACTCTCTATCTCGCTGTCGCTTGCTCTCCATCTCCTCTCCCCCCTCTCTCATACCATAAGACTCGTGCATACCCATATTTGTTGCTTTCCCTGTTTCTGGTCTGCTTGTCTTGAACGATGTCATAGCCTTGTTCAACTGCGGGCCTTGCCTCTCGGGGTCACCCATTGCTGACCGCTTCTCCTTCGTCACCATCCCACCAGCCACTGCTGGCCCACTCCCACGTTCTGTTTGCCGGGCCAACAGCACAATGACATATCGTCATCGTACATATCAAAATGCCATACCTTCAGCGGAGTCCCCATGGTACGCAGCGAGCCTCTGCTGCGAACTCAGCATGTGCGTTTTCTGCAGCCTGCCGCTATGGAACCCACACTAGCAACGCGACACACTGTGCTATGATATGTTGAAAAGCTTTGCCACGTACTATTTTCCCGCTACCTGGTGAGCTGGATCCTTTCAGTACCCGCAGCATCCCTTGTGGCCACATCCATGGCTTTGTGCATTTGGTTATGGCGTCAACACACATCTGCCGCGCCTGTACAGCCAAGGATCGCATATCGCCTCGAAACTGCTGAGGGTATCAAGGTTTTGATGGCCACCGTGCAATTAACATCGATACTGCCATGGAATGACATCCATGTGCAGGCTTTTAGAACCAGAGTTGGTGCTTCTGCAGGAATCTACGTCCAAGTCTCATGCAACTACTGGGCGCCTCCTACGTACACCATTAGATTTTGGAGTCCACTGAACAATGCTTGGCTAGGCAGATATAAGGAAGATCTTGAGCCAGTTGGCCCGCGTTCTCTTCATCAGACATATTACTCGGAAAGCTTATCTGACCATAGACTCCTTATACCATGGCGCCCATTGCTATCACTCCTCCACCCGTCGAGCCTAAGCAGGCTCGACCAGGTATGCAGCGCGCCAATACTGCCAACATGGGTACGAAGCGAAAGATCATCTGCTTCTCAGGTACGCATGCGCGCGTTGCGTGCTAGACCTCATCTGACAACTGAATCCAGACTTTGACGGCACCATTTTCATGCAAGATACCGGCCACACCCTCTTTGACAACTTTGGTTGCGGCCCAGAAAGGAGGAATATTCTGGCCAGGCAACTAGAGTCCGGAGAACGGTCATTTCGTGAAGTCTCGGATGAGCTCTATGCCTCACTAGATGTACCTTTCGAAGACGGCTTCGAGGTCATGAAAACTGCCCTGGACATCGACCCTGACTTCCAGACCTTCCACGAGTTCTGTGTCAACAACAATATTCCTTTTAACGTCATCTCGGCTGGGCTCAAGCCTGTATTGCGGAGAGTCCTCGATCACTTCATTGGAGAGGAAATGAGCAAACATATTGAAATTGTGGCCAACGATGCCAAAATTGCCGGTGATGGTAGCAAATGGGAAGCAGTTTGGAGACACGACACTGAGCTCGGTCACGACAAAGCCCGATCAATAAACGAGTACAAGGCAGCAGCGCGATTGGAGAGCGACAATGGTACAATACCGATGATCATTTTCATTGGTGATGGCGTCTCAGACCTTCCGGCAGCACGTGAAGCCGATGTACTTTTCGCTCGCCGAGGGCTAAAGCTGGAGGAGTACTGCATTGAACATGGCCTCTCATACACCCCCTTCGATACATTCGCCGACATCCAAAAGGAACTCATCAAGATTGCTAAGGTCGATGAAGAGAAGACACACGGACAAGGTCTGCCATCCAACTTCAACCCTCGCGCCAACATGTGGAGGAGGGTCAGCAGCCGGGCCGCCGTACCTGTGTTTACCGCCCTCAGCCCGCACAAGGAAGAGAAGGCCTTCTTGTGGCCAGACACTTTCACCCAGCCAGCCACGGTCCCGAATAAAGACCAAGCAAAGACCGCCCTTGCAGCGCCGGTGGCATAGCCGACCGTGCTTTGGGGGGTTGCGGCTGAATTCAGTAGATCATCATGTCTTTTGAAGTTTTTGGTGCCAGCGTGGGTGTGACGATTATAGCGACAGGCGATTGGCGACGATGGATTCGACTTCGAAAGGTCAATTGGAAAGTAAACGAAAGAAATAAAACTAGATCTATGTGATATCCCTGTGGAAGATAGAAAACCGGTCTGCGCAATGTTACGGTGCGTACTAGGGAACCGAATATGAAGCATGTATTATCTTCCACCAAAGAAATTCTTCTTTACACCTCTCGCCTCCACACGCCTAACCAATGATTTTCTTCTTCTAGCTCTACGTTTGCTACGCAAATCTTGTTGCGTATGGCCCCCCGTCCGACATCGCGCCGCTAATTAGCCTATTCTCAGTTGACTGAAACAGTCAATCTCCTGTTTAAATGTCGTACGGTGCCGCGGCGAACCCCTCCTCGGTCCCAGCGTCCTTTGTAGCCAAAAAGTCCCAGATCCTCTCGCACCTCGACCAGCCCGAGGGCACGTACACGGACAATTCGCCCAAGGGGACGGTGGACGCGCAGATCCGCGACTTGATCGACGAGATCAATCGGTATGACGGGCTCGTGACGACGAGCAGCTGCGCGGGCAGAGTTGCCGTGTTTGTCGAGGGGCCGGGCGGAAGGAGAAGTGGTCGTGGGGGCGCGAACAGGCGCAGAGATGTAGGTGAGGATGTCGGGGAGAAGTGGGAGATGCGGGATAGTGAGCGTGAGGGAAGGGGAGAGAGGCAGGTGTCAAGCGCGGAGGCGGGTGTCAAGGGGAAGCAGGCTGAGACGACGTCGACGCCGACGTCCACATCGCCTGGTGGGAAAGGGGGAGGACGCTGGCTTTACGTCTCGCATGATCCTCTTCCCGTTCCCATCCCTCCAGACGGAGTCAATAGTACCAGTGCGACCGGAGCAACGACAGGTTTCTCGGCAGCACACGACTCGGATGATCAAGACTCCTCGTCTTACTTTTCCAGACTCTTCCAGCTCGCCAACCCGTCGTCGTCTGCATCCTCACCCTCACTCTCACCCTCATTCACATTCTTCTCCTCCGCGCGACAACCGCCCCGTCTAATCCATTTGTCCTTCTCCCCACTCATCCTGCACATCCTCTGCGCCACGCTGCGCCATGCCCGCCCTCTGCTCACCGCGGCAGTCAACGCCGGGTTCCGCGAGAGCGGGGTGCAGAGTCTGCGCGGCGTGCTGGAGGAAAGCTCCGAGCAGGATCATCAACATGGCGTGATGGTCGCCGTGAGGACCGCCGGGTTGGTGTTCGAGACCGTCGTGGGCGTTGCGCTCCCCCCACCGGGCTGCCACGCTGGTGGTGAGGAGAAGAGTATGGTGACTGAGGAAGGCGAAACCGACAGGGACGTGATTCAAAGGGTCGTCAGCGAAGAGTACCTCGGCCTGTGCGCCAGGGTGGTCAACGAGCGGTTCCAATGGAATCTCGAGCGGCGGGAGCGGTTTCGACGCGAGTTGAAGAGCGCGATGGAGAGGGATGGTCTGGGTTCGGGTCCCGAGACGCTGCATCCTGGCTGGGAAGATAAAGAGGAGCGACGAAGACGGAAAAGAGAGGAGGGGCTCCAGAGGCAGAGGGTGATGATGAACAAGGAAAATACTGAAAGGGACAACACGGCGAGGCAAGGAAATAACCATGACGAGCTGGATCAGGGTCTCTCAACGCTCGAGATAGATTGATTTGAAAAGCATTCGACTACGTTCCTTCCAGGCTCATGAGGTCACCCGTAGCAGCTCTAAAGCTTTTGACCCCTAGCAAGGAACGGCCTCCTCTTCGCTTCGCCCCTCAGCAACACCTCACCATCCATCTTCACAATCGAAAAATCCGTCAATCCAGCGCTCTCAAAATAGCTCCGCAATTCCTCTTCGCTGAAGCCAGCATGTGCCACCGTGTGCGTAGGAAGCTGCTGCTGCGCGGGATCCGAACTTTTCTCCATGGCGTGCGTGACGAAATCCAAGATGAGGAAGATCCCACCTGGCCGCAACCGCTCTACAAGCCGGTTCGTGGCAAGCGGAATGTCTTGGAAATGGTGGTATCCTAGGCCCACGACCACGAGGTCGAAGTTGAAAAATTCTGGAGAAGAAAGGTGTGACGGAGAAGGGTCTTCTGGGTCAAGGAGGTTGCCGACCACGGCGTGGGCATTGAGCGTCTCATCGAGTTTATCGTCCTGTGCGGCCGTTCCGTCCGCCGGTGAGGTGTTGGCCGCGTTGATTGGGTCGGGATTGAAGCGCACATTATAAGCCTTGACCATGTTCTCGCTCAGATCGATGCCGATATACTCTGTTCCGCGCGCGGCGAGTGCGTATGTTATGGTTCCGGGTCCACATGCATAGTCCAGCACGCGGACCTGTCGTTTAGTCTTCGATGTAGGTGAAGAGATCTCAAAGGTTGTAGCAGGGTCGAGGAAGTCTACACCAATCCAGTTTATATGCTGATGGATGAATGCGGTCACCTTATTGAGAAGATCTCGTTGCCAAGGCTCCGATGTGTATTGTGAGGCGAAGTCACTGTTGATCCAGCAAGTTAGCCCGGGGTCTATAATGGAACCTGTCCCGGAAAGGATGAGAGATCATCTGGCAATGAAATGGCACCAGCGGTGCAACAATGCTATCGACATACTTCCAGTGTGTGCGATTTGCTTCCGTGAACGCAACATTATCGGTATGGTGCGCACCATCGCCATGGTTGTGATGATGCCCGTGATGATGTTGATGATGGTGGGAGTCTTCGGGCATTGTAACGATGAGAGTGACTTGAAAAGATCTGAAATTTCAGGATTGTAGAGTCGTAGAACACTTGGCTTCAGACAGCACCGCACACACCCACAATAAATTTATATCTCCAAGGTGTGCAAAATGTTTCCGAAGACGCAGCAAAGACCATAAGGCTGAAACTGAGGTTGGCCGGAGAGTTTCCTCGGTCACGGAGACATATTTGCTCAGACCGTGCGGCGTTTCTCTCAGAGATTTACCTCGTAATTAAGTGTTCTGAAGGTGTGGACGTCTTGCCCTGAGGTAGCCTGCAATCCAAAACTTCACGCGAAAGACAGAGCAGCACTCTGAATGAGTTGGCAAAGTCAAGGAGACCGGCCGAACGGTAAGCTGAGGATGTAGTCGTTGGATCGGAACGTAAAACTCGCCGAGAAAATCTAGATCTTGCCGATACGTGCTCTAGTCCTGTGTGATCAGTCTTGTAGGTTGACACCGACTGCACGAGAGATCTCGTAGTCAATGGCCTGATTTTGAAGACCGTGGAAATCCGCATACAAAACAATGGTTTTCAGATCTCAAGCAGAACCGGCAGTTGACGATTCCGTTCTCATCCAGTTATGTATACGGAACTCGGTCGTTCAACCACTGGGGGGGGTTATAGAACTAACCTCGCTTTCAATTGCAACTGTGTATCTGTCTGGAATAGTCGACCCCCTTGGCTGAAGATTTGATCAATTTCAATATCAGACGGTTGCCGAAGTGGCCAGTAGTGCTTAGGTTGCCTTTGAAAGGGATGGCCACCAGAAAGTAGCTAATATACGAGACAGGGAAAGTCAGATCGCGAACAAAGAAGGAGATGCCGCGAATAGCTATGGAGTCTTAATTTGTATCTGCGTCAAATGCGAGAAGAGTTGAAGGGATTCTTCCGTGGTGCGGGATGCTGGTTGCTTGGTAGCTACACGGATTCTCAAGGCCAGATAGAGGACAAAAGGCGTTAACTGAGCGTACAATGGCTGAAGCATTGCTGATCTCCAGCCCCAAAGTATGATGATGAACGGCCACAGTTGTAAGTTGTAACAACGAGAGAAAAGGATACGAGTTGAAGCATCACTAGAATGAATCACATTCGATGACGTCATTCATCGACACGGTTCTCGACGCCAACGCGTTCAGGGCCAGTTTAAGCGGTGCTGGCCGGTGGTGCGCTGGTTGTGCTGAAACCCCCTCAGCAGGGCAGACTCTTTGACGGTCCGTAAGAGATCTCGTCTTGGATAACTGTGCTATCTCATCCTTCTCCTTTGCTGAATCTTTGTGTCTCCGCAAATTAAATTCAACCATGCCAGCACGCAAATCAGGGGCGTCAAAAAGGGCAACAGCTGCCTCCAATAAAACTCACAAACGCCAGCTGTCACAAGTCGCTCCCTCAGTGTCTCCTGGGAGTAGAGCTTCAAAAAGATTGAAGGAGTCGGCTGAGAAAGAACGCAGTCACGGCAAGGCAACTCCCACGAAAAGCAAGTACTTCCAGGACCCGGACAGTGAAGAGGAGGATGAGGATGTCGACCTTATGGAGGAAGAGGACGAGGACGAGGAGTCGGGCTATGAAGACCAAGACGCATCAGAAACGGAGCAGCCCTCGACCGAGGAGTCTGGTACAGAAGACGACTACGACTCTGACGAGGACAACAAGAGAAAGAGAAAGCCGAAGAAGGCAAGTAAGAAAAGCAGTGGAATTACTCCCGATATCGAGTCGGTGGCCAATGCCGTGTTAGCCAAAGGCAAAGAACTCTGGAGGCCCGGAGTGAAGACGGGCTTGGGACCCGGCAAGCAGGTCTTCATCGAAAAACCGAAACCTAGGGATGATGGAGGCATCAAGTATGTTGCCGGAAAGATTCACCCAAATACAATGGCCTTTCTGAAAGACTTGAAGGAGAATAACGACAGAGAATGGCTAAAGAGTAGGTGCTCTCGTTGTCCCTGATTCTTGCATCTTTCTGGCACTATACCTGTTCCTTTGTGATGACTTAAAGATTGCTAATACTGACATTTGCATCTACAGTTCACGAAGTCGATTATAGGGTCTCGTGGAAGGACTGGGAAAGTTTTGTAGAAGCCTTGACCGAGGGGATTATTGACATCGACGAAACAATCCCTGAGTTACCACCCAAGGACCTGGTTTGTGCAGAAAGGGGCCGTTCCACTATCCCTCACACTAATTACCTGCCGTTAGGTCTTCAGAATCTATCGAGACATCCGATTCTCTTCTGATCCGACTCCGTACAAAGTCTGTTACTCTCCAAGCCTCTTTCGTAGGTTGAACTTCCTGTGGCTAACTCTTTTTCCAGCCTCATTTCTCTGCAGCATGGTACAGGCTCTCGGTTGTCTATCTCTATATCATGTGTTGATTGGCAACAGGTCGCGAACCGGTCGCAAAGGACCTTATGCATGTTATTATGTGCAAATTCAGCCTGGAGGAAGAAGTTTCGTTGGTATGACAGCCATCGTTCGTCAAGTCAACCGCTAAGCCCTCGACGCGACAGGCTCTGGTTTGTGGATGCCCGAATCCCAACCATTGGCTCTCCTGAGAGCGAATATCGACCGCAAACCGAAGAAATTGAGAAGAGTCCTCACAGAGACCCAGTTGCGAAAAGAGGTTTTGGGGGTCACGGCAAAGGACGAAAAGAAGGCGATCAAGGCCTTTGCCGACCAGAACAAGGAAAATGCGTTGAAAACGAAGCCGAAGGTATGTGTTTCATCTTCTTTTGTACAAACGGCGTCTGTGGATGCAAAAAAGGGGGTGCGACAACGACTCGCGAAGGTCTGTTCCTCAGCTGTTCCAGTTAGCCACGTTAAAGGTCCTGCATCTAAACACTTCTCTGGTAAAACCTGTGAAGGCGAAAGGCCAGACGTGCTTGAGCGACAAATTAGATAAGAGGTACCTGTTTGAGCAACTGTTCCACCCATCGAAAAGTACAGTCTGCTTGACGTGTCTGCGGCAGATCTGGAGGCCCCTGAAGCCACGACTCGGGACTCGATCCCAGTCAGGGCAAGGAGCTGGGACAAAACATGCTCGCAGTAGCTGAGGATGAAGCTCCCAGGCCTTTCGTCCACCAGGAGCCAGTGATGCATGTGTGCATAATCTTAACAGATGCAGATGCATCACAGGCGCAGTTTGAGCGCGAAAAGGCTAAGAATGGCAACAGCCGGGCTTTTTGAGCGAAGGCCACCAAATGCCCCTCCTTGCAGGCCATATTGTTTGGGTGGTCCCTCGTTGGCGGCAGCTCGCGCAGTTCTCATCACCAGCATTCCGCATTGCCCGGGGCAGACGCTCCAGACCGGACTGCATCTTGAGTCCAAGTATCTGTGCCGAACATTGCATGATCTAGACTTGGCTGACAGCTTTCTCTTTGACAGGGCTACGATGCAGACAATCCTAATGTCGAACTCCTTCGATTGCGCAATTTCACCTTGGGGAAAAGGATCCCAGACGAAAAGGTGATAGGGGAACAGGGACTGCAGACCATCCTCGAGTTAATTCGGGTAATGGTCCCTTTCGTGAGTCCACCTCTTTGCCTCCCATTCGTGCGCATAGGGAACCTGGGTTGCCTGCAGGGTGCTACCGTGAGGAGATTCTGATATGACCGGCACGGGGACTGGAGAGTGCTTCTGCGGTAGACTTTGCAACTGTTTGGGTGTCCAATCATATCCCAACCACCTCCAGCTCAAAACATCAACAGGCATGGGCGAGGAGCGAGGAGCCCGGGCCGATGTGAGCCAGGCGGGAGTTTTGAGTTGCTCCCCACCATGATCCGTCGGCCACAAACTCTCAGTCTCTTTGACCAGAACACGCAGAAAGAACATTCGCTGATTTTCGGCACAATAGGTCACATACCTCAATAGTGTCGTAATGCCAGACGATGACGAATCGAGTAACGATGAGGCGAGTGACTGAGGAGACAGTCAGGGTAGAG